ATGAACTTAACAACTGGAGCAAGTTCCCCTATTGTGAAATACAGGCTGTGCTATCTTTGTTATTTTCTTCACTGAGAGCAATGTCTAATATCCAGTAAAAGAAGACAATTGTTTGAATCTGACAAACTTGTTACCAATAAGTGGAATGAATTAAAAGTCGGCTTCATTGATGGGTAAAGTAAAATATCAAGAAATTGTCTATTATACTTCTTGTTTATACTTCAAATGCAACAGAATGCAACAGAAAATGTTTACAGTGGTATAGATAACGAGCACTATCCTGTACTTTAAACAGAACTATTTACAGTGGTGTGGATAACGGACACTGCGCTGTACTTTAAACAGAAAATGTTTACAGTGGTATATATAACGACCACTACTCTGTACTTTAAACAGAAAATGTTTACAGTGGTATGGATAACGACCACTGTGCTGTACTTTAAACAGAAAATGTTTACAGTGGTATATATAACGACCACTACTCTGTACTTTAAACAGAAAATGTTTACAGTAGTATGATAACGAACACTTTCCTCTATTTGAAACAGAAAATGTTTACAGTGGTATGGATAACGACCACTGTGCTGTACTTTAAACAGAAAATGTTTACAGTGGTATATATAACGACCACTACTCTGTACTTTAAACAGAAAATGTTTACAGTGGTATGGATAACGACCACTGTGCTGTACTTTAAACAGAAAATGTTTACAGTGGTATATATAACGACCACTACTCTGTACTTTAAACAGAAAATGTTTACAGTAGTATGGATAACGAACACTTTCCTCTATTTGAAACAGAAAATGTTTACAGTGGTATGGATAACGACCACTGTGCTGTACTTTAAACAGAAACTGTTTACAGTGGTATATATAACGACCACTACTCTGTACTTTAAACAGAAAATGTTTACAGTGGTATGGATAACGACCACTGTGCTGCACTTTAAACAGAAAATGTTTACAGTGGTATATATAACGACCACTACTCTGTACTTTAAACAGAAAATGTTTACAGTAGTATGGATAACGAACACTTTCCTCTATTTGAAACAGAAAATGTTTACAGTGGTATGGATAACGGACACTGCGCTGTACTTTAAACAGAAAATGTTTACAGTGGTATATATAACGACCACTACTCTGTACTTTAAACAGAAAATGTTTACAGTAGTATGGATAACGAACACTTTCCTCTATTTGAAACAGAAAATGTTTACAGTGGTATGGATAACGACCACTGTGCTGTACTTTAAACAGAAAATGTTTACAGTAGTATATATAACGACCACTACTCTGTACTTTAAACAGAAAATGTTTACAGTAGTATGGATAACGAACACTTTCCTCTATTTGAAACAGAAAATGTTTACAGTGGTATGGATAACGGACACTGCGCTGTACTTTAAACAGAAAATGTTTACAGTGGTATATATAACGACCACTACTCTGTACTTTAAACAGAAAATGTTTACAGTAGTATGGATAACGAACACTTTCCTCTATTTGAAACAGAAAATGTTTACAGTGGTATGGATAACGACCACTGTGCTGTACTTTAAACAGAAAATGTTTACAGTAGTATGGATAACGAACACTTTCCTCTATTTGAAACAGAAAATCTTTACAGTGGTATGGATAACGGACAGTGCCCAGTACATCAAAAGAAAATGTTTACGGCGATAAATAATAGCACTATTCTCTACAGGTATTCAAGACAAAACATTTTTCTGGTTTTATTCATTAAGATGGCGGAGATAACAGTGGAATTTCTGACTGTGTTATTACCTCGGCTCACTCCTCACTTTCTATAGATCAACTAATAATTATGTCTTTAACCCCATTCCGCCAAACCACACACGTCATATATTGATATTTATTTACTCTTTCCAAACACATACTGAGACTTGACGTCTGAGCAATCCAACTGTGTAGCTAATCATACGAC